ATATATATATATATATATATATATGAATTATGGGTGGATAATTATGATTTAATCTTACTTTATCTTCAAGCGACCGTCGTTTCACTGGATACTGAACAAAAATTTCATTTTATTCAGTTAACATACAACAAACTTATATTATAAAAATAACAATACAAAAAGCCATTATTAATTTTTGACTTACACGTGATTTGCCTGAACTTGAATTGCTTTTCCCTGCAGATGAAACAGTCAGTCAGTCTACGGTGGAGAAAAAAAAAACCCAAAAAACAGCGTAGAGCGGAAATATAACGAACTTAAATAAGAAAGCTGGCCAATGAACGACAGCTGCTCTGCCGATGATGCTACGGGAGTATTTAAGTTTGGCAGATGATCAAATATAACTATTTAACTCATTCGCCATTTTCCTCGATCAATAATCGATGCTATATTTATGAACGTTTTTTTTTTTACATATACTTGTAGTATTAGTAACTGTAAATATCTTTTATTTTCATCGAAAAACGGACTGTCAAGCATTATTTATTTTGGCTAGAATTGCTTTCAGCGTAATTTTAATTGATTCACATCTATATTCTGGATATAATTTTTATTTCTATTAGAAGAATCATTGTCTTCTCTTATCAGTGAACATAAAAACAAAATACGTTATCTAATGATGAGCTACAATTTTGAAAGCTCTTTAGGCAACAAAAAGGAATTTACTCTCAGAATAGTATTGAAGTATGTGTGTGTATGAAAGAGAGAGAGAGAAAGAGAGAGAGAGTGTGTAGAGAGAAAATGTCATATATGCAGACACGGCGCTACAAATAAAAGTCGTGCAGCGTGTTTAACTGAACCAGAATGTATGATTTATATAGAGGGTATGTCGTTTTTTACTAAAGGCCATGCCATAGTGTAACTTTTGCCTATTTAAGATCTCGTGGTTCTACTTTTCTACTTCTCTCATCATAAAAAATGTATATTTATGACAGAATAATCAATAATATGTACTTTGACTTTAATAAAATTTGTTTAGATGAAAATAATACTTTGTCAGCGAAATACTTTGATATATATATATATATATATATATATATATATATATATATATATATATATATATATATATATATATATATATATGTTTTTAGTTCTTTCTTTTTTTAACTTTGGGTATTAGATTGTTCATTTACAAGCTAAAACACCTAAGGTTTTGCCGGACGAGTATAGCTGCTTACATTTATAAGGTTACACATACACACACACATATATATATATATATATATATATATATATATATATATATATATATATATATATATATATATAATCTCAGTTACATACAAACACCCTCGTCCTGGGTATGACGATAAACGATACCCGGCAGCAAGGCCTCTGATCGGGAGGTTTTGAGGAACGTGCAACCACCTCTTAACTGCTTAACTACATTCCTTAGTACCTCCAGTTCTAACCTTCGGACCAGCCATAGTTACTTTATTTCTAAAAAGTAAAATTAAAAAATTACTTTTATTTCTACTTTGTTTCATGTGATACTTTTGTTTCAGAATTCATAGTTTCAATATGTTTTTTGTTGCATTAAATCTCTTTTAAAGTGGAAAACTAATTCAAAGATTAAAATGCATATAACATTTCATACACGCTTATTTAATGAGGCAGGAAATGATGTATCCGAAGATCCACCTAATTATATATTAGTTGTATTAATACCTTAATAAAAAAAATATAACAAAATAAATAGGATTAACTTTTTGAGCTAAATTAATTATGCACTTAATCCCTTTTTTCTTTTAATTTCTTAAGCCGCCTACAGCAGTGAACCAAACCGAAATTAAAAATTTTCGCTACTCTGATTTAGAGTTATCCTTTCCCTAGACCGGTTGCCAAGCAAGGCATTAGGCAATATCGCAGATGGCGAATATTTTCTGCGATACATTAATCCATGTCACTTATACCTGTTAAGAAAGCATAAGAAGTGTTATAAGTGGCCTAACTAAACGAGTCAGGTACAATGCAAGGCAGGTTAAGTGACCGCGCCTGTCTACGAAATTAATAGAATATCTAGCACGAGCCTCATGTCGTCAGGAATTACGGTGTTGGAATAGCCGGATGTCG